AAGAACATTTTTGCTATTCTAAGGTGTGGGACGTTTTTACTCAAATTTTCTAATCTCCACAGTTCACTAGAGTAGAACCAAGTAAATGACTCCAAAACTTCCCTGCCAGAGTATGTAATCGCATTTGTGAATCATTAAGGGTTTGAAGCCACTAGAGCACGGGGACAGTTCTTCACCTGGTACTGGGGTTTCCAAGATGTTTGTCATGGACAATATCACATTCGTCTCATATGTTCAGCTTACATACAACTTGGTGGTGAATCTTGAAGGCATATTTGCTCAGATAAGTTCTATTTTAACTTAGGTTTTCAAAGAAAGCATATTCCCGTTTCACTTTCCTCGTCGTTTCTGAAACTCCATCGTGATAGCCCATACGTAGCCTTCTTTTTATAGAAATGCGGTTTAGGTGGTCCATTTTGTTGGCAATCTCTCCTTCGAAAACCACAGGTCATCACTTACATACGACGGGCAGAGGCCATTTACGCCAAGGTGTTTGGAGAACATAGCGTGCAAGTTCTAAATACCATGTCCAATTTGGTGAGTAATCACAGTGACCCGTCACAAAAACCGCGATTCAGGGCATCGCCTCTTTTTGGCTTGGCGTAAATGTCACCAACTACGCATGATATCTGATAAATCCCCGTAACACAACGTTCCGTGAGAGATAGTAGAAACTGCATCCACTTTCGAATTCCTCAGTTCTGCTTCATCTATCATATCGCATGAATTTTGGTATCTCTGATTCCCGCATGCTCCATTATGTTCCACTCCCTACCCTGGTCCCCGTTTTGCTACCACCCATCGTTGTTCGTGACTTCGTGCGGGCCTACATACCCTACGCGTGTTCCACTTGGCGATCCGATTGTTACTACTGTCGCTTGTCACTACGCTTTGTCTGCGTTCTCGTGTACTGGTCGTCGTGTCTGCTTCCTGACGCGGACTTTTATACACTCGTTCACTATCTGACATCGGCTTGTTATGCTCGCGGACAGGTGGAGCTGTACTACCAACGCGCTTTGGAAATCTACATTAACTCATTTGGTCCGGATAATTTGAATGTAATACGGACGAAAAATAACTTGGTGGGTACTGCTGACTTCCTCTCTGTTTTTTCTTAACAAGAACTCTCCGTCTACGGAGTAGCCAGTATGTCTGCTACTGTTTTGTTTTGGGACTCTGTGGTTGCATAACCTTTGATTGAATGGAATAGTTTTAATCATTCATGTGACGCTGTTCCCATTTTTCATTTTTCGCACTTCACTATCTCGTGGTGAATGCATCGAATGCATGTGAGTTCCGTGGTTTGCAACTCACTAGACATGGTTCTCTTTGTCTCACTTGCTCTAGTTAACATACAGAACAGGGATACTTAAAATCCGTTAATTTTTCGGAACAGGAGATTACCCATTGATTAGTTGTGTGTGTATGCCCCTTTTTATCTTCGCCTGACTTGCACCTTGACACCGTTATTTGCCATTGCCCAGGTGTGCTATTTATCTCAGGCCTGATTGGATGCGTTTATGTAAAACTAGTTCCCGGTGTGTAACTGAATTTGTTCTTTTTTCGTTTGTTTGCAGGCGTCAGCCTATCTGAAGCAAGGCAAATATGCTGAAGCAGAAGAGATGTACAAACAGGTTTTAACTCGCGCGCACGAGAACGAATGTGCAGAGGTACCCAACAGCAAACCACTTTGGGTGATTGCAGAGGAGTGCAATGGAGGCACTGCGAATGCCACTAAAGAGGCGGCAGATTTGTTCCGATTCATGTACTCTCAACTGTCACGATCGCAAAGGTTCGTTTTTTCATCCATCCATATTTTCAAATAACTCCAGGAATCAGACTTTTGACTCAAAGGCTCCGGTTAGGGTTCCCAAAGAAAACCCCGTTCGTCAGTGTGGGCTGCCACGATGTATGCCGTGCCCTAAAGTAATAGGCACCCATTTGAAAAACTATCTTTCCCATCTGTCTAGTTCTTCTCAATCCCGATAATCACTCCTCCATACACAAGGTCGGAATCCAATTTATGAACCACATTTTCTTTACTCTGCTCTGATGTCTGTGGTTCTTACTTTCGAAGAGCGACGGATGTGCATTTTATTTACTATTGTTGATGTGTAGCAGCCCGGGGAGCACAAGCAGTTAGCGCGTCGGATTAACCGCCTGTATTGTATTGTATTCAAGCTTTAGCGAGTTACATATACAAGCTTTCAGCCAAAAAATAGACCGCCATTACAATTCTGGTAAAAACAGGGGGAAAAGGTGGGATGTGAAAACGTACAAAGGTATGAGTTAATTACCAAATGCATTAGAAAGCTNGAAAGCTCAGAACGAACACTTTCCTTGTCGGTCAGTATCCGGGCAAGATATGGTACCAAAGAGTTTATGTATGCGGATATACGAGACGGGGAGGGGCGGATTTGCATGCACACAAGTCAGTGTATGGAGGACGGGTGCAATCAGATAGGATATTGTCAGCAAACTTTAGGCATGCATCAATATGGGCCTTACACATATTGCCAATCAAAACAGATTATGGAACTTGGGAAACACGGCTGATCATTGAGAGGCAATATGTGTAAGGCACATATTG